CCAGATGGGCTCTGGAGGGTTGGAGCATCTCCTTGGCCTCCTTCCAGCAGCTCCAGGGCCTTCCCGACCTTCCGTGGGACGCGGAGTGACGGTTGCCTGCGCTCTCCTCCCGCAGGCCGTGCTCTACGTGGGCTCCGGCAGCCGCGTCCTGGAGCTGCCCATGGACATGTGCGGGGCCTACCGCAACAACTGCCACAGCTGCGTGCTGGCCAGGGACCCCTACTGCGGCTGGGCCAACGGTTCCTGCCTCTCGCTGGCCCGCAGCCGGTGCGTGGGGGAGCAATCCCAGCTCTGATCCCGCCGGGCAGACGCCCGCGCCCGCGGCGTTCCCCTCCTGGGCTGGGCGTGGGTTGGGGGGTGGCTGCACTGTCCCCGAAAGTTTGGGGTGCTCTGTGTGGGTCCATCCTGTTCTTGAAGGGGTTTGGATACCCAGTCCCTCTCCCTGAAAGTTTGGGGTGCTCTGTGTGGGTCCATCCTGTTCTTGAAGGGGTTTGGATACCCAATCCCTCTCCCCGAAAGTTTGGGGTGCTCTGTGTGGGTCCATCCTGTTCTTGAAGGGGTTTGAGTGCCCAATCCCTCTCCCCGAAAGTTTGGGGTGCTCTGTGTGGGTCCGAAAGTTTGGGGTGCTCTGTGTGGGTCCATCCTGTTCTTGAAGGGGTTCGGGTGTCCAATGCCTCTCCCTGAAAGTTTGGGGTGCTCTGTGTGGAGCAAAACCCTTGAAGGGTTTTGGGCACCCGACCCCTCTCCCCAAATTTTGGGGTGCTCTGTATGAATCCATCCCTCCCTTGAAGGGGTTTGGACACCAAATCCCTCTCCCCAAAAGTTTGGGGTGTTCTGAGCAAATCCATCCCTCCCTTGAAGGGTTTTGGGCACTCAACCCTCTCCTTGCTGCTGGGTCTCCTGTTGGTCATCTCCAGCCTTCGGAAAGGGGGAGGGGGAGATTCCCGCTCATCCCGCCGATATGGGGGATTCCCATCCCTGAAAACGCCGCTTCCCAAAGTTTCCTCGGTGTTTATTCCCATTCCCACCCCCCAGGGAGGTGCTCCAGAACCTGAACTTGGACTCGTGGCGAGGAAGCTGCCAGAGGGGCGATGTCAAGGAAGGTACGCGGAGATGTTGCAGTTGGGGAAGGAATCGTTGGGTTTTTGGAAGGGTTTGGATGGTGGGAGGTGGAACTGGAATTCCACCGGGCTGCAATTAGCAGAAATCATTTCCCTGAGCTGGGTGGGAAGAAATCATTTTCTCCTAAACTGGGAGAAAAGTCGTGGGGCTTCAGCGGCTGTGGGGCTGCTGTTGTCACGCAGATCTGTAACATCGGGTAACGTCGATGCCACCGACCCCATCTGCGGCTCCTGGACGTCTGCCGTGGGTTTTCCACGTGGGTATTCCCACGGAAATCCTGATCTCTCACTCTGCTCTGCCACAGCTGAGCAGAGGAAGGGCAAAGAAAATGAAATTGAAAGGCTCAAGGGGTGAGGTGAGGGTCAGGAGGAAACACTCGAAGGGCAAAACAGGCTCAAAACTTCGAAAGGTATAAAGGAAAATTTATGAGCGGGATTAAAAGAGGATAATGAGAATAAAATAAACTTTTAGAGCGCTTTTCCCTTCCCCACCCCACAACTTTCCTTCCCACTGACCGCACAGGGAGACAAAACCTGGGGATTTTAGTCAGTTTATCACTTGAAAAGAATCTTTGCTTTGGGAGAGGAGTCTCTTTTCCACCTGGGGTCCTTCCCACGGGAGAGAATTCTCCGGGAACTTCTCCAGCGCGGTTCTCATCCTCTAATCCTCCTGACGCGCCGCGCCGCCAGACCCTCCCAGAACCCGTGGGTTCCTTTGCTCTCCAGATCTTCCAGCTGGGAAGTGTTTGTAGAGCTCCGGGGTGCGGGGAAGGAAAAGCCGTGCGGGGAAGGAGCCCGGTGGCCATCACGGGGTGGGATGGACCCTCCAAAGAGAGGAGGGAAGAGGAACCGCGCGCCTTTCCTTGAGCGTGTCAGCGCCAAGGCGTGGCTGACTCTCCAGCTGGGAGGTCACCACCTGCCAACCCTTTAGGGGCTGAAGTTTTGAGGCGTTTCCCTCTCCCTCGGCGCCGCTCGAAGCCGGATTGTGTCCGACTGACGCAGCCTCACCCCCCTCCGTGTCCCCTCAGGTGACTTCCGCAACATCTCGGTGATGCCCTACTCCCGCTATTACCTCAACTGCTCCATCGAGTCCCACTACGCCACCTACAACTGGTACCACGAGGACGTGCTCATCAAGAGCTGCAACACGTCCCACCCGCAGCACGACTGCTTCCACTTCATCCCCAGCGTCCGCCGCGAGCACTACGGCCACTACGTCTGCGTGTCCGAGGAGGACGGCTTCCGCCAGGCTCTGGTCAAGGAGCGCCTGCTGGACCGCCTGCGCTTCCTGTCCCAGC